AGAGAGAGAGAGATCATTCTCAAATTTATTTAGTTTTGCAAATGTGTGACTTCTCAAATTTATTTAGTTATGCAAATTTGTGACTTTTGTAATCAAATGACTCACTCTCTCTCTCATGGTGATGAAACCCTGACAATTCTCAAAAAAGAAACTTGTGATTTTTATGATTCTTTCGATTTGGGAGAGACATTGGCAAACCTAAGCAGATCAGAACTCTCCGAGCGGTATGCTGAAAGAGTGAAGGAAGCAAAATGCTGCTGTTCATGCAAACTTTAGGGTCTCTCAACAAGTTGAGATCCTGAGAACCATTGATATTACCATCCTATGAAATTGACTGATTATGTTCCAGTTTCCAATATATGCCTATGTACCTTCATGTTAAAAAATCCTGGCTTTGATATGAATATGAACGTTTAACAGCCATTTGAAATCATGATATATTATGTTAAAAAACAATAGAAAGGGCATGGAAAAACAAAACCTTACACATTCCACAAGCTTCTCTGACTTGGATATGGAACCTATTCTCTTCCTCGTTTTCCATACACGGGGATATCTAGGTCTTGGGCCTTTCGCAACACAGATCTGCACAAAAAGACAAACGGTGTCTTCTTAAGAACAAAAACTTCACTAATTAACAAAATAGAAAATGGGAAAACAATTTGCAACTATAAAGTTATAACCTCACCATCAAAATTTGTGCTGTAGATTAAGGCTATTTAACCAAGCATGATAAAGACTATCACTCTGTCATTAGTATCATTTGCAAGCTTACCCTCCCTTGAGCTTTATTCATCACAACGATTGATCATGGTCAATCATAATATAAACTAACGTCTATAGTCTTTTCTGAGCATATTGTTTCAATTCAAACATTCTCAACCTCTCAAGCAAATATACTCTGCATTTATGAGAACTACAAATTTGAAAGCACAAGTGCAGGACATACCAAGGAAAAATTGGGATTAGTATATTCCATAAGCTGTAGCAACTGCCAAAATGCACAAAAGAAAAAGGCATCAAATAAAATTTGTATTTATGATAGATTTCAGAACATGACAATAGCCAAACCCAAGGCAGTGCTACAGTCGCCCTAATCACATTTGAGCCAGCTACCATCTCTTTAACCACATGTCATGGCTTCATTTTGCCACATAACAAGATTTGGGATAGAATCATATTTCTGTTACTTTTTTCGTAGTTATTAAAATAAAAAATAAAAAGAGCAAAACGCTCTCAATGTTCCACAAATTCAACACTTAAAAGCTCTCCAATCTCTGATAACCTCTCTCAAATGAAGCTAACAGCCTTACATCATCCGCCATTGGTTCAGAGTGCTCTTCCAACTCATGTGACACGTGCTCTAGCATATCAACAGCTGATTGAATTATATATCATTTCTATTCTTACATGTTTGCTTTTTGTTATCCACTGCCATTCTCAGGTGAGTTTCAGGGCAAAGACCAACATGAGCCAAGGCCACAGATGGCTCCAAGAAGTAGCCAATTGGGCTAACAATGCAAAATTCATATTAGTGCATGCAATAAGTACGACATTAGCCTCCAAGGACTATTAAACTTCTGAAAAGAATTTAGCAGGTTATCGAAAATAAAAGTATTCATGTCATCATGTAAATACGAGATGTAGATAGCCAAATTTTGCACTCAATCAGATTTCTCTTGGGAAATTGAAGGAGAATCAGGTTTTGGGAGATTTTTGCACTGGTTATAGCACTCCATGGCATTCCCAAGCCATTGTGCCATTGCAGCAGATCCTGATGTATCAGTTGCATCAGTCGCCTCTTTTTTCGATATGGTATGGTCTCCAAGTTTCAGAAGAAATCTCAGGAACGCTGAACCAAAGGAGCTCTGCAGGATTTTCAGTACACGACAAAAAGTTTTGGGCCTACAGAAAGAGATGATGCCATTGTGTTCAGGGACCACACAGGGGAGGCAATTATCACCTTTTCAGGTCCAGCAGGGTGGATTGATTCCAATGAAATTGAAGTTATGGCCCTAATCACAGGCTTCATCTTTCAGATAAAGGGTGGGCCAGGCTCATTATCAAAGGGAATTCTTCTAATGTTATAGAATGGGCAAAGAAGTCATTCATACCTTCGGTTAGCTCTTCTTTTTTTCATAGAATCTTGAAAAATATACAGGCTTATAAATCATTGTTGTGCATTCTTGGAGAGAGGCAGATGTATAGTTGATTCATCAGCTATGGAGGGGATAAATAGGATGGAATTATTCATATGGAAATTTATAAAACTCCAAGTATGATTTGAATTATTTTACATCTTACCCATACTTTTTCATCTAATTTCATATCACCCAGCACTGTTTTGATGAAATATCGATAGCCCATAAAATGACACGTCAAAATGGACTTTAAAATTTATCAAAAACAACTAGGGTAAATTGTTAAATAGTTCAAATATAAAGTGTATTTTCATAAATTTCCCTAATTTATTGCACCATCCCCTCTGTAGCCAAATTTGTCTGTTTTCATACTTTTGTACTTGTCTGATTGTAAACTTGGCAACTACATCAATTTTGTAAATGATGTTTTCATATATTAATAAAGTCAAGTTACCAAACTGAAAAACAGAAAAAGACACAAATGGATGAAAGAAAGAACATCGATAATCAAGGGGTTGAGGTGCCACACACTAGAGGCTACAAGGCAATGGCGGTAAAGTTGCATAACAAATGGATGTTAGACAGATTAACGATAAGTTAAAAGGCAAAGTTCACATGTCTCCCTCGTCCTACCTACGAGAGATTCTGGATCATAGGTAACTAACAATTTCAAGAAAGGTGTTTTTCCGAGATTTGCACTGCAAGATCCTAAAGATGGCACTGTCAAATATGAGTTTTTCATCATCTTTCCTTGATTGCAACCAACATGGCACGACAGAAGAAAAATGATGAGTTTGATGCTTTCATGGGTGAGTTTTAAGAGTAAATTTTGGGGATGTGGGCCGTTGATGTACATGCACGATTTATAAATTGTAACTCTTGCATTGGAAAACATGAACTTTTGCATATTCATATTCTTTTGAGTATCAAAATCTTTTGACTTCTGCTTCAAAATCAAATAAATAAGACTAGAAATCATCCATTATCTGTACTAGGACACCTGTGCGTTAATCAGTTTCGTCTAACAAGATTACTAGAATCATAGAAACCCGTCTCATATATCAGAAAAGAAACGAACAAGGACATCCACTAAATCAAATAAAAAACAAAAAAGGTAAAGACTTCACATAAAAAAAAGTAAATAACTTTGCAGGAAACTCACCCAAGAGCAGTTGGACACAGTTGGAAACTTGATTATAGATAGACAACCAGTAACAACTGCCGGGGAACTCTGCAATACAAGCATCTCAAGAAAATGTCGGGACCAAGAATCTGCAATATATTATAAAACTAATGAATATAAGAAAGGACTGTAAAACAGGATGCCCAGCCAGTAAAAATCTTATACTCACATGCAATTAAAGTTCCTCCAAGGGATTTCAAAGGAAGAGGATGATCAAAAATGGAATAAAGATATCTCTAATGGATTTTTGAAGGCCCCAAATTGTTTGAAGAGCATAACATACTTGGCAACCAGCACGAGCACATGAGATAAGTTTGTGTGCACGTTTTTTTTAAACTGTTGACTTGAAGGTTGTGTGCATGTTAAACAATTACATTGAGAGAATGCGTTGCAGAGAATGCATGCTCAGCCAAATCAAACAATGAAAACAGCAAAACCCTCAATCCTACCTTAGAGCTGGCATAAATAAATGTCTTTTGTTTTTAACATTAACAAATACCCATCATTTCATGGACAATACCAAAGGCATACATACATAGATCTAGTAAATGACAGGTGGTTTGGGCCACTAGGCTTAGTGCTTGTAGAATTAGGGTTACACATAATGTCCAAGATTTGGATCCCCATTCACCCACCCAATAAGACAAAAGAAATGTGCAGTGAATAACTTTACTTAACAACAAATGCTTTCACAAAATAAAGGGCCTGATCCTTGTTCTCCAAGAATAAAAAAGGAAAAATTTCAAACACCAGAAAATAAGTTTTGAGTTTAATAACAGACACCTTTCAACGTTTAGAGAGAGGCCTTTAATGCTTCAAAACAAGATAGAAATGATACCCTTCCAACTTTTTAAGGGGAAAAAAGTTTCTGAAAGTGTAACCGTAACTTTTTTTCCTGATTGGACTACATCCCAACTCATCAGATAACTAGAGAAGACTATAGAAACAAACAGAGAAAAAAAAATTGAATGAGAAGACAAAGCTCTAAAAGAGGCAATTCAACCACAAAATATGTAAATTCTTAATCAAGACAAACCATTGTAATCCAATTGCATGTGCTTCAAATATATGCACATCTATTGTGTGTGGCTAGCAAAGAATTTTAACAATTATTGAAAAAAAAAAATCGCTATCCTTTTATAGATTCTCACTGTCTTTCGTAAATCTAGAAAACTTCAACAATTTAAAACTGTTTGGAAAAAATACAAATCAATGTATACAACCGATTTTGATGTAAACCGTAAACCTACTGTTTAAACAGCATTCTATATAACATTCTTATTTATATAAATAAATAAACATAACTTGCTTCAAGCAGAAAGCGTTCGTGCGCATAGATGATCAAAAATAGCTTCTAACATCTAAAAACTAGAAGAGTACACCAAAAATCCAAAATAACACAATTCAGATTTTAAATCTAAAAAATATAAAATTTCACAACTCATGCCTGCTGTTAATTACATCCCCTTTCTTTCCATGGAAATGTTCATGAGATTAGGATGGGGACTGTTGCAGGGATGCGGTTAACACTTTTCAGCAAGCTGTCAGTCTTTACCCCCCCTCCGGATTCGGAAGAGACAGTATCAACAATCCTTGGCTAAGCAAGGATCGGATCGGGTTCGTGTATCTTTTGGGTGTGGTTAGTATAAGTTCGAGGCTCTAAAAAATCCGGCGCATCTTCAAATAGTATTTTTTTTTTTGAAAGCTGCACCCTTAAATAGTATTAAAATATGTTTCAAATTTCAATACTGCAAATCTGACTTGAAAATCTATTTTAATCTCTAAATATAAAATTTAAAGCTTCAAAAATAGTCTAGATCATTTTTTTGATGACTTGAAAATCTATTTTATCTATAAATACTTTAAAATCTTGAAAATTGACCTTCCAAAAGAGCTTTAAAATATGCACTATTTTCAAAACTTGAAATTCATTTTTTTTCATATCCATGTATCTTGAGGTTGAGATCATCAAATTAAGGATTTTGAGCATTGAAATAACCTCTTCTAATGAAATTTTTGAGGTGCACATTAATTTGATTGTTTAGAACCTCACACTTATGTAAGCTTTTTTTTTTCCTCATCTTTTTGGTACTAAATCAAATTTTAGAGTGATAAATTAGGTGTGGTTTATATAAGGCCAAGGCTCTTACGATCAAAGTAAAGCTTACCTTCAAATAGTATCAAAATATATTGTTTTAAAGGTGAAGTTTGTATAAGGTGACAACTTTAAACAATCAGGTGCATCTCAAAATCCCATTAAAAGATGTATTTTCGATGCCAAAACTCTTATTGTGGCCTAAAAGTATGTTTTTCACCTCTATAATGAAATTGAAAGCTCAAAAAATTATGCAAATCTAACAGATATATAAGTGCTCAAAAATCTTGAAATTTGACAATCTAGATAATGCGTTTTAAGATGAACTAATTTTAGAACTTGAAATTCATTTTTCCTTTCATATCTATATATATCAATGTCAAGATAATCAATTGGATAATTTTCTAGTAACGAAACAACCTTTTTCAATAGGTTTTGAGTTGCACCTTACTTCTGCAGTATAAGGTTGACACCTTATATAAAAAAAATCATTGTTTCGGTACTAAAAATCTTTGTGATGGCTTGAAAATCTATTTTCATCTCTAGTTATAAAATTTAAATCTTAAAAAATAGTATAGATCGATAGATCTATGAACACATGAAAAATGTTGAAAATGTTGAAAATTGACGTTCAAAAAAATTATTACAAGATGTACTATTTCCAAAACTTGAAATCATTTTTTTCTCATGTCCATTCGTCTTGAAGTCGAGATGATTAATTTGATGATTTTTGTGCATCAAAACAACTTCTTCTAATGATTTTTTTGCACCTTAATTTTATTGCTTAGGACCTTACACTTATATCGATGCAAAATTGATAAGTTTCCAAGTAAACATTTGAGAATTTCTATCTCAGATTCCATGTTTTGTCAAGCGGTTTGGGACCTCAAATCCATAGGTACCAAGTTAAGTTGGATATTTGGAAAACCAAAACTCTATTTCTGAGAGGCCGTATTTCTCTTGTGAAGTACACTTATGCAAATCTGCCCATTTACTTGATGTCTGTCCTTCAAATTCCCAGTGATGTTATCAAGATTATAGAGAGATATATGCGCAATTTTATTTTGGGTTCTTATGATAATGACCACATGAAATTTCAATTGGTGAGTTGGGACAAAATTTGCACTCCAATTAAAATGGGTGGGCTGGGTATTCGGAGGCTTAAATACATGAATTGGACACTTCTCTCAAAGCGATGATGGATCAGAGTTCAAGGCGCAAACCATCTTTGGATAGAAATTTTAGCAATTAAGTTCAGATTTAATCACATCTCTCATCTTATCAAAAAAGAAAAAGGGAAAAATTATCATCATAGGTTTGGAAAGGTATTTGCAGCAAGAGAGTGGTCCTTGATAATATTCGGTAGCTGATTGGCAGTGGAGAGGATATTTATTTATAGTTTAGTTGGTAGCACGGTGAAACCTCTCTTTCGCATATCTTTCTAGATTTCTTTTCAATAGTCTTCTCTTTTAGTTTGGAAATGGGTCTTTCGAATTCTTGGTTTCTCCTTGACATTACCAGCCAATTTAATTTCAATTATTAATCATTTTCACATCCTTTCTTACCTTCTAAAGGTCTTATTATTTGGAAGATTTTCAGAAGTGATATTATTTGGGAGATATGGCTAAAAAGAAATATAATAACTTATGATGGGATATTTTTAGATATAGTATTAAAAATAACATTATGCAATGCCTTTAGGATTGGTTTTCCGTTACTAAGAAAGGGCGTGGGGTTTCCAGAGTAGATATTTTTGTTAATTTGAAAGTTCTTGCTTTCTCATTGGTATCTAAAAATAGGTTGGTTTCCTTCTAGATACCTCCTCCTTAGGGTTATCTCAAATAAAATTTCGATGACAGCTCTATAGGGAACCTGATACCAGCTAGAGTTGGAGGTATTCTCAAAGATCATAGAGGGTCCGTTATCTTTTCCTTTGTAGGTCCTTGTGGCTCCACCGTGACTAACTAGATTGAGATAGTATCGCTCGTCCATGATTTACAACTTATTGTCAACCGAGGAATTTTGGAAACTATCTTTGTTGAATGTGATTCCCTTAATGTGATCAAATGGTGCATGTGGAAGCATAAGATCTATTGGACTTTTTGGTTGAAAATCATGGATCTTGTTCCTATCATGGGTTTCAAGTTTCGTTCTCTCATATTTTCCGTGAAGCCATTGATATATCGGATCGTTTTTGTAATAATTCTAAAATTCCAAAAAAAGAAAAAAAGAAAGGAAAAAAAAAGAAAAAGGAGGGAAACTTTTAATAAGTGATGGTTCGTATAAGCATGATGGTCCTTAAGGACCACCACTATTTTCAAATCTTTTGGTTGAAGTTCTTTTGTTGCCGCGTCCACGGGGGCTTTAAGCATATAAGGGGTAATATAACGGTTACACCTCGTGTATGAGGTGTAACTTAATAAAATATTATAATAAGGTGTCGTAAGAGTTTAAATACGAGAGGCGAGGACTCCCACCCTAGAAAACTTACGAGATATTTCTCTCTCTGGTCGAAACACAGTGAGCTCCTTTCCATAGTCGAATTTTTATCGAAAGCCCCCTCTCGAATATTTTAGGTAAGTGACTTCATTATCTTGAAAAATTATCCGTTCTTTTTTAAAATGAAATGAAATAATTATTTCTGTTTATTATCATGAGTTTTAGGCACGATAAATTTTATGCGTAAGTGACCTCATTATTTTGAAAAATAATATTTCTAATAAAATTATAATATTAGAAATTTTAAATGCTGTAAATTCTTAAAAAT